CACCTACTTAGAACAAGCTTAGCAAAGCACAGGGACCGCGGTTCAATCCCCCAGCACCACATGCCAGCCAGCTCCGCCCCCTGGTGGGCTGAGCTGCCCCCCCCCAAAAGTATAAGTTCAACTAAATTCAGAAATTTTAAATATTTGCTGCACACACCCCTCTACTTTGAGAATTCTTACTATATGAATATAAGTTTCTTGATTTTGGCACAGAGTGAACTATTATATGACTGATCTGTAAATTCTTCATTTTTATTTTGGACAATTTTTTGTTATATTCATTTAAGTATGTGAATAATTTATTTACAATGTGCAATCCATTATTAATCTCATGCCATGTATTCATTTCAGAAATATTTCTCTAAAATTCAGTCTACATCTTATATATTTCACATTTCAATGTCTGTCTATAACTTTTAATATGCTATACAATTATTTCAATAAAGTTAATAAAAAAATAAATAAATCTGGGTATCTCAGGAGGATCACAGTCATCTGAGACAATCCCTCTCCTCGACAGTAAGAACTATTTCTACAGACCTGAAACACTGTATATTGGTAGCCACTAGACACATATAGCTACTGGGCATGTAAAATGTGGTAGTCTGAACTGAGATGTGCTTTAAGATTAAATTAAACTGTCTTTTGAAAACCTACCATGCAAAAAAAAAAAAAAAGCAAAGCAACTCATTCATGAGTTTAAAATATTAGCATGAAATTGTAATATCTGGATATATTGTTCTAAATAAGACACATTACTAACATTAATTTTACCTGTTTCCTTTTATAAAACTGTATTAATTTTTAATGTTTCCACTGTAAAATTTATAATGTGACTTACATTAGGTTTTAGTCCTCACACATTACATCTAAATTCTTGAATAAATCGATCAATACTAAGTATACTCCAGTTATTTTATGAAAAGTATCTGATATTCTATACCCACAATCTCTGACAAGAACAAACCTTGGGCTCCAGGACATAAAACACCACTCCCAAGAAACACCTGTGAGATCTTACATTGAGGGAGACATCACAGAAATTCTATTATCAGGATGGTGAGACACTGCATGGGCCTGAACCTAATTTGGGATTAATCTCAGCAGGACTGTGTGAGGCTGCTATCAGTGTATGGGTCTTTCCAGACCTCTTTTTCTATTACAAAGATCACTGAAAATCTCAGTAGGTTTAGTTTCTGTTGGATTTTTAAAAATGTAAACACTGGGCTGGGCAGATAGTTCAGTGGCATTAGCACCTGCCTGGCAAGTGTAAGGTCCTGAATTCAATCCCTGGTACCCAAAAAAATAAATAAATAAAAATGAAAATGTCATTAACATTCTTTTTTTCTATTGAATTCCTACTGTACTATAAAAAGACATAATACAAAAGCTACTTTAATTTTATTCATAATTTCTAAGTAAAGAAGAATGAAACTATTATAATAAAAATCAACATTTTGTAAGTTCTAGTTGTTTCATACCCACACCCTTTTGGTGGTGATCCTAGTGACTGAATCCAAGGCCTCTGAACTGAGCTACATTACCAGCTCTTAATTTTATTTATTTTTACGACAGCATCTTGCTAAATTGCCCAGGCTAGGTTTTAACTTACAATCTGTTTGCCTCTACCTCCCAGAGTGTGTGCCACTACACTCAGCTCAAAAACTTCTTTTTTAACCAAAGTAAGCAACACACACACACACCCACCCCCTCTAAAGACAGTCTCACGTAGCCCAGATTGAATTCACGACGTAACCCTGGTTGGCCTCTAAAACTTCAAGTGATTCTCCTACCTCAGCATGTGCTACTATAGCCAGCAAAGCCATCATTACATGTTAATATGGGTCACTCTAGGTAAGAGAGAATACCGTAGGTCTACCTCTGAACTGTACTGAATCCTTCTTGAAAGACAGATTACCACATTAATGGGACTTGAAAGTTTGAAATAGTGTGTAAAGGGATAGTTTTCCAAAGACCTTATGCTTGAATTTCACACCCTAATCTACTATTATTACTACTGCTACCACCACCACCACCACCACCACCACCACCACCACCA